ATAAACAAGATGTGTTATCAGGTTAAAAAAAATCCACACTTTCCCTTGCCTTTAAATGCATTAAATAGACTTAAAACACTTGTCATGGAGGGAAGTTGCCTTTTTAGTTACACCTTCATAAACAATTACCTCTGTAATTACAAAGTATATTATCTTTCCAATACACTTCTCTGAAATCAATAGGGAGATCATAAGAAACTATATTTTATATGCAGAAGAAAGACTAGAGGAAAAATAAGGCTGAAGGATTCCATGCAAAATGTAAAGTGTTTTTATTTATTTATTACTTTTTTACACTGCCCAACAGCCAGCGATTCTGGCTGGTTCACAGATAAAAAGACAGAGAACAGGCAGAAACTGGAAGAAAAACCCATGTTATTCAGATAAAAGTTTTAATCACCCTTGCCAAAAACCCAGGGGAAGAGCTGAGTCTTCAAGGCTTTCCAAAACACCAGCAGAGTAAGAGCTCTCTGGATTTTTGTGGGTAGCCTCCTTCCAGAGGGCAGGTGCTGCTTTTGAGAAGGTCTTCTGGGATCTAAATCTAGGCTTGGTTTAAATCCTCTCAGACTGAGGGGAACTGAGTCGTTTAATTTCCTTTTAGAATAGAATAGAATAGAATAGAATAGAATAGAATAGAATAGAATAGAATAGAATAGAATAACAGAGTTGGAAGGGACCTTGGAGGTCTTCTAGTCCAACCCCCTGCCCAGGCAGGAAATCCTATACCACTTCAGACAAATGGTTATCCAACATCTTCTTAAAAATTTCCAGTGTTGGGGCATTCACAACTTCTGCAGGCAAGTTGTTCCACTTATTAATTGTTCTAACTGTCAGGAAATTTCTCCTTAGTTCTAAATTGCTTCTCTCCTTGATTAGTTTCCACCCATTGCTTCTTGTCCTGCCCTCAGGTGCTTTGGAGAATAGCTTGACTCCCTCTTCTTTGTGGCAGCCCCTGAGATATTGGAACACTGCTATCATGTCTCCCTGAGTCCTTCTCTTCATTAAACTAGACATACCCAGATCCTGCAACTGTTCTTCATATGTTTTAGCCTTGAGTCCCCTAATCATCTTTGTTGCTTTTTTCTGCACTCTTTCTAGAGTCTCAACATCTTTTTTACATCGTGGCAACCAAAACTGGATGCAGTATTCCAAGTCTGGCCTTACCAAGGCATTTTAAAGTGATATTAACATTTCACGTGATCTTGATTCTATCCCTCTGTTTATGCAGCACAGAACTGTGTTGGCTTTTTTGGCAGCTGCTGCACACTGCTAGCTCCTATCTAAATGGTTGTCCACTAGGATTCCAAGATCCCTCTCACAGTTACTACTACTGAGCAAGGTACCACATATACGGTACCTGTGCATTTTGTTTTTCTTCCCTAAATGTAGAACCTTGCTTTTTTCACTGTTGAATTTCATTTTGTTAGATAGCGCCCAATGTTCAAGTCTGTCAAGATCCTTCTGTATCTTGAGCCTATCTTCTGGAGTGTTGGCTATTCCTGCCAGCTTGGTGTCATCTGCAAATTTGATGAGTTCCCCATCTTTCCCCTCATCCAAGTCATTGATGAAGATGTTGAAGAGCACTGGGCCTAAACAGAGCCCTGGGGTACTCCACTGCATACTTCCCTCCATGTAGATGCAGTTCCATTGAGGACTACACGTTGAGTGCGGTTGGTCAGCCAGTTACGAATCCATCTGGTGGTAATGTTGTCTAACCCATATTTTTCTACTTTATCTAATAGTAGGTTATGGTCTACTTTATCAAAAGCTTTACTGAAGTCCAAGTAAATTATATCGACAGCATTCCTTTGGTCCACTAATTTTGTCACTTTGTCAAAGAATGCAATAAGATTAGTCTGGCATGATCTGTTTTTGACAAACCCATGTTGGTTTTTGGTTATTACTTGGTTTGCTTCTAGGTGTTCGCTGATTCATTGTTTGATTATCTTTTCCAGAATCTTCCCTGGTATTGAGGTCAGGCTGATAGGTCTGTAAGTTTCCTGGATCTATTTTTTTTTTCTTTTTTGAAGATGGGAACTACATCAGCTCTTTTGCTATCAATGTATTGATATGTACAATTTGACAGGCTCTTACATGAGTAACTAGTAGCCCCATGGAGCATTGCCACCCAACTTGGTAGCCCTAATTGTTACAAAGGCAGAAACACAATATTAGAAAGAAAGCAGAAGACCTCTAATTGATCTTTTTTTTTTTTAATTTGATTTATATGCCGCCCTTCTCCAGAGACTCAGGGTAACTTACAATGCGTTAAGCAATAGCCTTCATCCTTTTGCATATTTATACAAAGTCAGCTTATTGCCCCCACAAACTGGGTCCTCGATTTACCTACCTTAGAAAGGATGGAAGGCTGAGTCAACCTTGAGCCTGGGGAGATTCGAACTAGCAGTAATTGCAGGCAGCTGAATGATAATAACAGGCTATTAGTCTGCTGCGCCACCAGGCTCTTTTGCATATTTAATGGCATTTTCCTGGCCACCTTTATGCAATTGCATCTGGTATCTGCAAAGCCATCCCAAGACAATATAATGGGTCACACTGTGCAAACAAACATCCCTTTTCCACCAATGTTACAACATGATTTCCAGAAGGATGGGATTGCTCGTTGTTGCAAGTGTAGTAAGTTTTACATGTTTTGGCATGGCATGAATGTGGCCTATTCTCCAGTAGAGTTATAATGGGGGGTGGGGGGAGCCCTCATGATTATGATACTGAATATACTTTAAGAAGATCTACTTGTAGGACTTCCGTTCCTGAACGAACTACCTTAACGTTTTCGCTTCTGTCTTTAGCTTGATGTAGTATTTTCTGTTCACTAATTCACTAAGTAGGACTTTTTCACTCTTGGGAATAATTCCCACCGCATAGCCATAGCTGCAAGGAAGCCGTACATACATATTTATTATGTTTTAAAAGACAACATACTGTCATCTACCAAGCTTTAGCTTGATCTGAGGAACAAATCCTTTCCCGATTACAATGTCATTCATTTAAACTTTAAAGCTTTAATCCTATGCATGTGAGCATGGAGTTAGGCCTGAGGAATCGTTCTTTTGTGGCTATAGAGTTAATTTACTGAAATCCACTCCACATTCCCCACAATGTGTCCTAAATGCTTAAGACTTTTCTGTTTTATTGAGGGAATGTTTTTTTTTTTTTTGGCAGCTTGATACTGGGGCCATGAGGTTAGGGAAACTGATTTGGACCAGGTCAGATGATTAGGCCATCTGGCCCACTTCGACAAAAAAGCAGTTGCTTGCCAAGTTAGATTTGAATTTGGAACTTTATGAGCACAGAGTATGAATTTTTGCCATTACATTTTGTTTTGTTTTGTTTTGTTTTGTTTTGTTTTGTTTTGTTTTGTTTTGTTTTGTTTCGTTTCGTTTCGTTTCGTTTCGTTTCTTTTGAATTAGTTTCATCCTTCGAAAATAGTAGAATGTATAATACCATCTCTTAAGTTTGGGAAGACATGGCCACAGCTGTCTTGGAAGGGTTTTTGAAGAGATTTAAGGGATGTATAAGGCAAGAGCTAACCATTCCATACTGGTGTTTACTTATTTATTTTTATGTATTTATCATATTTAAAGACTGCCCATCTCTTTCACAGAGATATCTGGAATATTGTCCCAGATAGCTACACAAAACTGAGTGGATTTTTTTTTGCTTTTCTTTAAAATTTGCAACTCCAGTAAATGCTGATCTTCTTTATTGAAATCACATCTGGGAGACAAACCAGAGAGAATCAAAACGTGTATCTAAAAGCTAAAAATATAGGCATCATTCTTACCATGTTTCCCTGAAAATAAGACCCTGTCTTATATTTTTTTTGAACCCCGAAATAAATGCTTGGCCTTATTTTTGGGGAGATCTTATTATGTTGGGGCACGTGGAGCAAGACAGGGCTCCTCTTGCCATCTTACCCGATTTCCAGCTCTGTCTCCCTAACCCTAACCAGAGGAAATGATGGGGACCAGCTGCACAAGTGTTTAAATATTTTCAGGGAGGCTTATTTTCAAGGGAAGGCTTATTTTCAGAGAGGTTTTATTTTCAGGAGAGGGCTTATTTTCCGGGGAGGTCTTATTTTCGGGGAAACACGGTAGATTTTGAAATCATCTTTTTGGGGAGGAAATAATCTGACTGTAACAATAACTCTCAGGATTGCATTGTGTTGAATATCTTATCAACAAGATGGAAAAGCACACTTTATCTGCATCTTCGTTGACAAAATTAATCAGTCTTTTTCTTACTGGTACCTAAATTGGACACATTGCTAGGAGACGGCCCTATTTGCATTCATTTTGCATAAGCCCTCATTGTTTAGAGGGTTATACATAACAGTGACATAAAGGCCCATGAGAAAATAATTGAAAAGGTCACAAGCCTATTTTTCTCTTTCTATGACTACTTTCCATTAGGCAATTTTCCTGTGGCAGGATGATTGTGCAGCTGTGTGACAGCGGCTGTAGCACAATGAACTGACAGCTTGGCTTTCTGTCAAGGAAAATGGTGTCTACCTATCTCTCTGTTTTGAAATTATCATTTTAGAACTCACCAGAAATAATCCTCAAAAGATTTTTTTTTTTAAATGATGAGTGAGAAATAGAGAATCAGAGACCCATTTCAAAGTTTCCCAGCTAATTCTAAGGGGTCCAGCACTTGCCCTGTCCCCACACATGCATGCTCCCCCACACATGTGTGTGCTGCTCCCACACATGTGCTCCCCCAGGCATGCGTGGCAGAGACCCAAAGACCAGCTGGCCGGCAGGAGACATGCATGCATGCACAGCAGAACTGAACTGGGGCGATGGCTCACATGCTATCAAAGAGGGTGCTGCGTGCCACTTCTGGCACACGTGCCATAGGTTCACCATCATAAGTATAGGGTTTCCTGCCTGAGCAGGGGGTATGACTAGAAGACCTCCAGGATCCCTTTCTACTCTGTTATTCTGTTATTACAATGAAAGGACACTTCCATGCATCTCTTAACCCAGGATCACTTCTTTATAGTTGTTTTCAAGAAAGTACATGGTGAAAGCAAGAAGGCTCTTTGTCTTCCATTCCATTATTACTCTATGAATTAAACAAATGGTTATTAAGTTCTAATAAGTTTGCATGGAGTGAACATCAAGGTTTTAAGAAGGCCTCTTAAAAGCCTATCTGTGACTAATGGTTGATTTGGGTTCTACATCTTAAATTGGCCCTCTAGTGTGTTGTTAGCATGTTTTCTGCTTTGTGTACTCTCACACTTTTTCTTCCTTGAAGGTTAATTGTATGGTAGAACCTCAATGTATGTTAGACTTTAATAGCCGAACAAGTGTTTTTCTACCTACTCTGTATTTCTGAAACACTTGAGTTGACAAACAAGAAGTTAATATCACATCCTTCTGATGTTGGTGAGAACAAGCCAATTCCAAAACACTTCCTATCAAGGGCTGAGAGAAAGTGAGAGCCGACTTCTGTGCCTAAGGAAGAGCTGGAACAGTGAGACACTTAAATGAATTCACAACTCACACTGCTAATAATGTGGTTTGCTTGGGTTATTGAGTTGTGTGAATGTAGGAACTGTTTATAAACTCTAGTTTATGGCTTCATGTGGTATAGCATACCAACAATTATACTTAGTTGTCTATAAACCAGATGAGTGACATTTTCTCCTCGGTATATTCATTTTCAACAGAATAAGAACATGTTGGAGGAGCATTTCTCACCTAAGTAAAACAGTGTTTCATTTCAGTCTTTACAATCTCATTATTTCCAACATGTAGGTTTGATTGTACGAAGCTGAGTACAGATTGATCTAAAATGTCACAGTATCCTTATCACTGAAGAATGGAAGGCTGCAACTTCACTTCATGTCTAAGATCAAATGATCCTGCTGTGAAGATTTTTGCCACTTAGAAAGACATGAACAATACACAGTGATTGATTATCATCTGAATTTAGCAAGTTCCAAATGGATGGTTCAACTATGATATTCACATTTTACTGCTTTAAGTAATGTGTGCATCATACCTGGTTGTGCTTTTTGTGTTGTTTTTGCTACCATAAATTGAAAGCATATATAAAGACATTATAGCACAGATAATGTCATAGATAAAAGGAAAACCAAGGGTTTTTTTTTTTCTTTTCAAATTACAAGATAAACTGCAGAATTGCGTATCAATGGGAGTTGGCCAGTGGTGAAATCCAAATTTTTTTACTACCGGTTCTGTGGGCTTGGTGGGTGTGGCTTGATGGGCATGGCACGGGAAGGATACTGTAAAATCTCCATTCCCACTCCACTCCTGGGGGAAGGATATTGCAAAATCTCCATTCCCACCCCACTCTGGGGCCAGCCAGAGGTGGTATTTGCCGGTTCTCCAAACTATTCAAAATTTCCACTACTGGTTCTCCTGTCAGAACCTGCTGGATTTCACTCCTGGAGTTGGCCACTCATTCCCCGGTTTGTCTTCCTGCTGCCTGTATATGCATGAAATGATGACATAGGAGATAAAATTCTCCTATGTTTATTGCTACCAGCTCACACCCAACTTTGCAGCAATTCTGAAACCATAATGCTGAAATATATGCCTTTTATGTATCTGAGCCCTTCTACAAAAACTAAAATAAAGTCTAGGGGGAAGAGCAAGAAGAATAGAACAAATCTATATACTCTCTGTTTTATTTTTTGGGTTATACACCAAAATGAAAGGGTACTCACACATGTCTGCTAACAAAAGCCTTCTGTTGAAGGAATTATTTTTTCCCAATGAAAAAGGATGTTCTCTCTCTTGTCTTGCAGTGGTACATATTTGCAACCTATTAAAAGGGAATATACAGATGCAAATTGTATTCTTCCCAGTTGGCAGGATAACATGAATAAGGCAGTATCAGTTCAGCACTCAATTAATGTCATCATTTATAACCAATTGGAAATAGACAGTGCTAATGAGATATTAAACTCTGAATCAACAATAAATTGCCTAATTATAGCTGAAAATGAAATAGTCTGTCAAAACTAAAAAGTCAAAACCTGTAAATAAGCAGTAAATAGAAGACCATGGTTTTGAAATGGGAAGAAAAAAGGATGGCAACTGAAATATGAAGCTGTCTGGAAGGAAATATTTTCTAACTAGACCAGTAAACATTAGTTCAAACCGCAGAGTAAGAGGTCAAGCTTTGTTTTAAGTGTTTTAACAAGAAAACAAAAATCAAGCTGGAAATACATGCTGGGTTTTTAAAAATCCATTCCCAACTTCAGATTCCCATCATAAATATATTGACTTGATGTATCATTGAGAAGGGTGAATATGAATTGGGAAAAGATGATTGGCTGTGATAAATGCATGGGGTCAGCACTGCTGATTTGGCATCTTGTTAAGATAGCATTGTACCACAATGACTTGGCATTCACTCACCAATTAAGTATGTGAAGGATCAGGATCACAATCAGTTGCATATCATGAAATAACACAACAATGCTGCACTTTAGCACCAGCTTGGATAATTATATCTAGATAATTGTGCATTTTGAAAGCATGCAAATGCAAGTAGATTAAGCCCCCCATCTTTTGGACACCAGGGACCAATTCTGTGGACAGAAGTGTTTCCACGGACTGGAGGGTGTGTGGTTTCATATGCTGCCTGTATCCCACAAATAGGGCTTCGCTTGTTTATGCAGCTGGTTTCTGGCAAGCCACAGACTGGTGCTGGTCCCCTGGGACCCCTAGATTAATAGGTACTACTTCAGTGGGAAGGTTAACAGGATTCTGTGCACCTTTGGAATATAGCTATGCTGGACACACGACCATGGAAATTGTTTTTGGACAATGCTGGCTGCTTCAGCCACGAAATGGAGATGAGCACAGTGTATTTGAGTTGGACACAACTGACAGGGAAACCTTTACCTTTTAATTGTGGGATTAATGAACAATGACAGCGTGGGTGTCAGCAGGCATGATCAGGAGAACTCTAAGATGGACAGAAGAGAGATACATCATGGATGGCTTTCAGAAAGAAGCAATTGATATATCCATAGTGCTGGCACCTGTATTCCCACCTCAAATGCACTGGAGTGTTTATTTAGAAATGATGTATACCAAAAATGGCTATTTAGGGAATTTGAATACAAAAAAAAAAAAAGAAAAAAGATATTGTAGTGGGGGCTTGTATAAAAATATATCATCATCATCTTCTTTTAACAACCCCCAAATCCCTTGCGGGGTCGAGTCTGGACAAGTGAATGGAGCTAGAAGAGTGTTTTAATGGCTTGATGCCCTTCCTGTCATCAATGCAGAGTGTTGTTCAGCAGATATATTCTCAGTGTGCCCAGAGAGAGAAACAGTGCCCAGAGTGAGTTCGATCTACCACAGCCTCCTGATTGTGAGGCGAGAGCTCCGCCTCTAGGCCGCCGCACCATTCATTGTATAACATATACTGTATATATTACAAAAGTTGGGTATTGAAGACAGTGGACTTGCATATATATTGTGTTGATTATAATGATCACAACGCCCAGTGCTGAATTTATTAGGGAGGGTTGCATAGGTGGATTTGCCTGCTTTGAAAAATAATTCGTCAAAATTTGACAGAAAATGGACCTGCCTGTCTGTCTATCTGATATACTCATAGGGTTGTCTTATGCATACTAATGCATGCTGGGCCAACTATCCTGCTAACTAAAGATGGGCTTGGTTTCTCTTGTATGTTGCTATAAAACAAAGACCTGATCGTTGTCGTGTAGCTTGTTGCTGGCTGTGCTGCAAGCAGAGAGATTGCTCTCCAAAACATCCATTCATATTACCTGCCCCCTCAAGTGACTTGTGCCAGTGTTGAAAAGGCCATGGTCTTAAGTGCCACCAATGACATCTAGTGAAGGTTACAGTAATAACTCTACATCTTCCAATTATGCCATCTACGATGCAGTGCCTATATATCTCTTTAAAAAGACAGGTTTGCAGGAGCCCTAGAATAATAGCCACAAATACCCCAGTTAAAGTCCCATATTCATGAATGTGACCAACTGATACAATGTTGCTCTCTATAATCTGTTTTATATCTCTAATTAAACTGCTTTTTTTTTTTTTTTTACTCTTTGCCAGTCAAAAATTCCCAGCCCATTGCTGCAGAGTTTCCTCCAATGAGAATATTGCTATGGCAATAGTGTTTGTTTATTTAACTTGAGACATGGAGGTTACTAGCTCAAATGTTCCACCATTGGGTTTTGTGCAAAGCAAACTGTATCTACTGTGATTGCTCCAAATTGTAGATTTCTTTCTCCAACCATTCTCTGTAAGGAGACATTTTCCATTGGAAACCCAGACTGGTATTGCCCTGGGGAGGCGGGGTTTGGAAGCTGCCTGAATTATTATTTTTGGTGTTGTAATAGGGGGTCCAATTTGTCAGCACCCGATGGCCTCGCTTAGGAGACACCTACTTGGCATCCGGTGGTTGAGCGTGCAACTCAAATCCTAAATTGCAACTCTCACTAGGCTGCTGCTACAAGGCAAAGCAGAAACTGATGAGATTACTTCTAAAAATAATCTAAACAGGAATATGTCTGAGCAGCGAAAAAAGCAACTAATTGTATCCACATATTAGTTAAGTCATTCTTAACTAATTAAGAATTGGGCCCATGTTCCTCCCCGGCCTCCTCACTGTCCGACTCCACTCCAGCTCTGCAGGCTGCTGACTGACTACAACACTGGCAACCATTTGTCTGAAATGATATAGGGTTTCCTGCCTGAGCAGGAGGTTGGACTAGAAGTCCTCCAAGGTCCATTCTATTCTATTCTATTCTATTCTATTCTATTCTATTCTATTCTATTCTATTCTATTCTATTCTATTCTACTCTACTCTACTCTACTCTACTCTATTCTGTGGTTGGTTAGACTATGGCGAACTTAGTTGTGCGAACTTAGCCACTGTGATCTATAAATCATTGTTTGTTTGTTTATTCATACCAACTTCCAGAACACCCAAGTCCAACCCAGTCTAAGTGATTTACATAATAAAACTCCTGAATCATACACTAAGAAAGACATACAGAGGAGGTCATCCATATTACTCATGACGAGAAAGCCTTGCTCTTTTTGATAGGCTGCACCAGAAGCTGGCTATTTAGCATAGCAGGCAGATGGAGGCAATACTGGGAACATTATGTTCATTTCCTAGCAGTGTGTTTTCTGATCGTTGCAATTCCTGCCTTGCTTTGGAATGACACCGTGCCTTGATTTGGATTGTGCATTGTGAATTTTGGACCTTTCTTGCCTTGTGAACCCTCTTGTATTGTGGATTTAATTTTGTATGGTGGGTTTGTTTTGACTGGCAAACTTTCAAGTGCCTTGTGGACTCATTGGCCATTGCTTTGTGGACTAGCATTGGTCTGCTTGGTGGCTGGACTTAATTGGGACAGTTCTGGGTTTTTGGTGAAGGGAGTTGTGGGGGAATATTAATAAACCCACTAAACCACAACTATGTGTGTGCATGTCAGTGGTAGGTTGCCCCCGGTTCAGACCGTTTTGTAAGAACCAGTAGTAAAACCGACCTGGACATCATCATAGGTGATCTGCGCATCATCATAGGTGATCTGCATGATACAAACTGGTAGTAAAGGTAAGTCGAACCCACCCCTGGTGCACGTGTGAGTGGGGCAGTGTATAGAGCAAGTAATGGGAGCTCATTCCATTGTGCGACACTTGGGTCTTCAACCCCAGGCTGTCAGCTTTACAGCTAACAAGGTCAGCATGTTTAAGTGTTGAGCCATTGCAACAATATTTTAACTATTGTTTATAAAATAAGAAGGGAAGGGAGAAGTAGAATATAACCAAGTGACTTACTAACATCCACATCAAAATACATATCAGTTCTAAATAAACATTATAGTATATACATGCATACCTATTTTTGCACATATTTTTTGAGGTTAGGAATCCCTCGTATCAGACCTAGAAGTCCTTATGGTGAACACAAATTTCATCCCATTCTGTTAAAAATGAGAAATCGTTTTGCTTTCCCCTGCTAATCAATGACAAGGATAAATCTTACTTTTAGGCAATTTGAATTTGGAAGCTTCCTTATTGAATTTGCTCTGTTTTTAAAAGCTGCCAATAATAGGATTGAACCAAATTTGTGTTCATTGGATATACCTCTACCATATAACTTGAGGAGCAGCCGAAGATTTTTACCATAAATATAATAGTTTTTTTTTTTAAAAAAAACCAAAGTTAGTCCAAGAAGCTAAGCAATGTGAGAAATTATGCAGAGTAAGACTGAATACCAAATTTAGTGAAAGAAATGGAAGATTTACCCAAATTAGCATTGATATGAGCAACTCCCAATTATTAACAGTGAATTAATAAAGGAAGATGCATAATATATGTAAGTGCCTAAAGGGGAACAATTACTCTTTGAAAATGAACTAGTCATTTTCAGTTCCTCTTGCATCCAAATCTGGTAGGATAAAATTTGCAAATGAATGAAAGGTAATGCAAAGTAATGTATCTCCCTATCTCTTGCAACTTCAGTTACACCATATAGGTCCGTGATGGCGAATCTATGGTGCCTTCTCTGTGGGCACGCGAGCCGTCACTCCAGTTCAGCTCTGCCCCGCATGCGCGCGCCTCCCGCCAACCAACTGGTCATCAGGTTTCTGCTGCACATGCACGGGACGGGGGGTGGGGCACGAGCAGGGGCCGTGCGTGCATGTGCGGGGGGGGCATGCACTCATGCATGGGGGTGGGGGCATGTGCGGATTTGGGCACGCACACACGCATTTGCATGCACACACACTCTTT